TGTAACCCCGGATAGCACTGAACTTACATGTGTAACCCCGGGTAGCACTGAACTTACATGTGTAACCCCAGCTAGTACTGAACTTACATATGTAACCCCAGCAAGCACTGAACTTACATATCCTCCTGCCTCCAGGTAGTAATGAGGGCCTGAATGTGTCACCCATAGCCAGCTAGGACATGTTATATTTTTATCCCATATATTTGTGTGTGAGCAAGTGCACACGTGGAAGTCAGAGAACCCTTGGTGGAATCGGTTCCTCCCTTCCACCATGTGGGTCCAGGGCATCAAACTCAGATCATCAGGCTTGGTGGCAAGCACCTTTACCCCTGAGCCCTCTCTCTGGGCCCTAAAAATGCTGTTTTTAAGACAAGATAATGTTTGCCGAAATCCTAGACCACGTGCAAGGGGTGGTGATGGAGCTTATCAGCAGCTGCATCAGGCAGGGAGGGTGGAGATGGGCTCCAAGAGCCACAGAGGATGGACACGTTCGTTATCTCGGCAAGGATGTGGGTGGCACAAGGGTTTACAGTAACGAGAAGTGATTGTGTGGAGAACCCAAAGACTTGAGCGCCGTATAGGAAAATTAGACTCTGTGCTGAAAACGAGAGACTGGTTGTCCGGCCCTCAGTGACACATCTACATTAATGCCAACCCAACAGAGGCTCAGGAACGTCATTCGGGGAGACAGAAAGACCACGAGAGCCAGATGACGGCACGCTGAGAGATGCTGTCTGACAGGTGTGACAAGCGTCTCTTGGGAACTGATAGCAGTTGCAGGTGCCTGTATGGGATCAAGCCAGCCCGACCCCAGAACAGACTGGGAGGCCCCACCCCTGAGAATCACTCTTTACTGATGGTATGGTCACTGGTGGGGTTCCCGAGCTCCAGAGAATACATCACACAAGGGCAACACTAACCAGGTATATTGTTTATAAAAGCAACATGAAGTTGGGAGGAAGTATATTGGATGTGATACAGAAGGAGAAGGAGGGGTGGGTGGAGGTATGATTATAGCTCAATGAATCCATGTTTAAAATCCTCAAGAGTCGGGGCTAAGAACTTGGAAACAACTTAGATGCCCCTCAACTGAAGAATGGATAAGGAAAATGTGGTACATTTACACAATGGAGTACTACTAAGTGTAGGAGGGTCTTCTGTCTATGTGTTACTTTCACTGGTTAAATAAAGAGACTGCCTTGGCCTTTTGATAGGGCAGAAAATTAGGTGGGCAAAGTAGACAGAACAGAATGCTAGGAAGAAGGGAAGTGTGGCGGACGCCATGGCTCTTCTCTCCAGGACAGATGCTGGTTAGACTCATGCCGGTAAGCCACAGTCAAGTGGCGATACAGATAATTAGAAATGTGTTAGATCAATATGTGAAAGTTAGCCAATAGGGGCTGGAGATAATGGATCAGGCAGCAATTTAATACAGATCTCAGTGTGATTATTTTGGGCATAAGCTAGCCAGGCGGCCCGCTGCTCCTCAATACAATAATTAAGTGGTTAAAAATAATAAAAATAGTGACATCTTGAGATTTGCCAGCAAATGGATGGAACTAGAAAAAAAACAATATTGAGTGAGGTAACCCAGATCCAGAAAGACAAATATCACATGTACTTACTCATAAGCAGCTTTTAGACATAAAGCAAAGAAAAACCAGCCTACAGTTCACAACCCCAGAGAAACTAGACAACAAAGAAGACCCTAAGAAAGACATATATGGATCCCCTAGAAAGGAGAAAAAGACAAGATCTCCTGAGTAAATTGTGAGCTTGGGGGCAGGGAGAGGGTGGAATGAGTGAGGGAAGGAAGGGAGGGGAGAAAAATGTGTAGCTCCATTTAAAACAATGGAAAAAGAATCGGGACTGGAGAGGTGGCTCAGTGGCTAAGAGCACTTGTTGATCTTGTAGAGGACCAGCACCCATGATAGCTCACAACCATCAATGCAGCCCAGCTGCAGGGGACCTGGTGTCCTTTGTGGGCACCAAGCATGCTCAAGACACACAGACAGACAGACACACGGACAAGACACTCAATCACATAAAACAAAGCAAATATTTTTGATATCAAGAATAAAGAGGTATTTGCCAATACTTTTTCTCTTAACATTAATTTTTGCTTTATTCTTGAGAATTCATCACATATACAGCGAAATATGATTGTGTCCACCTTGTCAATCCCTCCAAACCACCCCCAACACGGTCCTCACACAACTTCATGGTCTTTTTGTCTTTTACAGTCCACTAAGTTCAATTTATGTGCTGCCCACGTGGGCGTGGTTGTGGGGCATTCGCAGGAACATGAGAAACCCACCAGTGATCACACTCTCAGCAAAGAATGGTTCTTCACCCCCAGAAACTGTGCACCATCAACAGTTCCTCAGAAAGGGTGGACTAGCACCGGCCGCCCACCCATCTTTGCTGGCTTGGCCTTGTGCAGGTACCCAGAGCTGTGGCCAGGTCATGAGGAATCTGACTGCCATGCCCAGAAGACAGACCATCTCACAGCATCCCTCTCCGGCTCTCATATTCTTCCCCCCTCCTCTTGTGAGACTTTCCCTGAGCTTTGGATTGGGGGAGGACATATTTCAACAATTTCCAAGATTGAGCTATAAACACAATGCAAATTTCTACTAAAATTATTTTTTTTAGTTATCACACTTGGCACATGACTCATAAGATTGTGTAGAAAACCATAGCATTATCAACACTAGACAAGATGTTCTGACAATGGCAAATTCACATGGGACTGCTGCCCTTGCAAGATACTAAAAATATCAGAAATGTTGCATGTGTATGCAGGTGTCCTCTGTGTGCATGTGTGTGCAGGTATACTGTGTGTACAGGTGTCCTGTGTGTGCATGTGTGTGCGGGTGTTCTGTTTGTGCAGGTGTTCTGTGTGTGCAGGTGTCCTGTGTGTGCAGGTATACTGTGTATACAGGTGTTCTGTGTGCATGTGTGTACAGGTGTGTCCTGTGTGTGCAAGTATTCTGTGTGCAGGTGTGTACAGGTGTTCTGTGTGTGCATGTGTGTGCAGGTGTCCTGTGTGTACAGGTGTTCTGTATGTGCAGGTGTACTGTGTGTGCAAGTGTACTGTGTATACAGGTGTCCTGTGTGTGCAGGTGTATTGTGTGTGCAGGTGTCCTGTGTGTACAGGTGTTCTGTGCATGCAGGTGTGTACAGGTGTCCTGTGTGTGCAAGTGTTTTGTGTGTGCATGTGTGTGCATGTGTCCTGTGTGTACAGGTGTCCTGTGTATGCAGGTGTCCTGTGTGTGCAGGTGTCCTGTGTGTACAGGTGTTCTGTGTGTGCATGTGTGTGCAGGTGTACTATGTGTGCAAGCAGAGGGCAGTTTGACACTGCCTTCCTCGTTCATGCCCCCATTTCTCTACTGAAACAGAGTCTCTCTGTATGCCACAGATCGCTAGCTGGCTGACTCAACCTCCCAGTGTCGCCGGTCCTGGGGATCCGAACTCAGGTCCTCACACTTTACCCACTATCTCTTCTGTCCTCAAAAGTTATCATCATAAATCTACAGTGAATCCAACAGTGTGATAATGGCTGCCAGGCTTCAAGATGGGCATCATGGTGCCCAGCTCCAAGTGATCCTCCTGTAATCCCCTGCCATGCTGAAGGAAATGGCCTTGTGTGACTAAGAGTATTAGTGAAAGTAGCGATAAGGGACTTGTCAAGAGTGGGCACGGTGGCCTTGTGGGTTCTCTTTGACTTCTTGCGTCATTTGACCACAGCCATGTTGAAAGGCTACTCAATCAGTGCTGTGGGGGAGATCTGAGGTTCTGCACGGCTGAGCCACCTGGGAAGCGGATCATCAGACGACAGTGCCTCCGTCGACATTTGACTGTGGCCTCACAAGAAACCTCAAGGGTGAACTAACTGCCCAGCTGAGCCACTTCAGAACTCCTGACCCAAAGAGCCTACGAGAACCGTACTACCGAGCCGTGGAAGTACTTGTTGCACACGGATAAGCAAGTAAGAGGAGACAAGACATGTGCAGGGGAGAGCTATGTCTACAGCATCTTGTGATTTAGTGATAAGACCAGGCGAAGAGCTTGACCTGGTGTGAGCCCTCAGCATCAGGAAATGATTGTCATTGTCATCACAGTCAGGAACATCACCACTACTATCATCACTACCATCATCACCACCATCATCACCACCATCACCATCATCA